TTCCAATTATTTATTTATCACAAGAAGAAGCAGAAGATTATTTAAAAAACTTTTTAATGTATAAAGAATTATATAATACAATCAAGAAGCAAGGATTAGAGGATAAAATTATTGATAAACAACGGGATGAATTATTTGAAACACTTTCTATTTCAAATTTTGATAGAGAATTTTTGCATTCACTCATTTTTCTAGATGATGCAGTGAAATCAAAACTAATAACAAATGAGAAATCATATTTTAATCAGTTATTAACTCAATGTCGACACATTCAGTGTTCATTCTTCATGGCTGTTCAATACTTCAAAGCATTAAGCACAAACATTAAATCAAATCTATCAACCTTTTCATTTTCAGTGGGTTTAGTCGTCAACAGTTGAACGTTATGCTTTATCAAGTGAATTTACCAATGAGCATTAATGAACTTTACACACAATATCAGCAATTAGGTGAACATGGAAAAATAATAGTTGATTTAAATAAAGGAGGTGTTAAATTTGATTAACTTTTTATAATTAATTTTTATTTTTTATTTATAATTAAACATGACAGAAATAGCAAATCTTCTACAGGTTCCATTAAAACAAGGAACAAACAAAAAGGGTGCATATAATAGAACTATGAAAGTTCCTGATGGAATGAAAGAATTAGTTCATATTGTTGCTGGTCTTCAAAAAGATGTTAAACAAATGAGAAACGTTTTAACATTACCAGAAGCTCAAGCATATGCCAAACGTCAAGGTCCAAATTGGGAAGCACACGAAGCAGACATTACGGGTCCAAATGGAAAACCTGATGGTATAAATGAAGTTTTCGTTACTGATGGTCAAGGTAATATTAAAGTCATAAATGGTTATAAATTAACTATAACTGATTATCCTAAACGTAAAGCATATAATGAACGTTATCCTATGCAATTTGATGAAAATGGAAAAGCTGTTAAACAATACATTGGAGAAGGTGAAAATGGTCCAATTAATTCATACCGTTATAATCCATATTCTTATTTCAATGAAGAATTAAATGCTATTGAAGAGGGACCGGATGGATTACCACGATATTCTAACCAGTTTGATGGTCAATATGCAAATATTAGACCTGAAATTTCAGCTAAGAAATTCTTTAAAGTTGCTTTATTCGATCCAGTTTTCGCAAATGTTAAAGATGAACTTAAACAGCAATTCCAACCAATTATAGTAGCAAGAATTGCATCAGGTGCTTTATCTCAAGCATTCAAAGATTTAATTAAGAAACCATTATATCAGCAACGAGGTTTAACTTATGATTTAGTTAAGGAATCAGATAAAAGAAAATTTGAGAAATCAGATGATTATAAGAATGCAATTAATGAATATATTAGGTCTATTAATTACAATGAACCAGCTAAAAATCAACTTCAAGAACAAATACAGGGAATAATAGATTCAAAACTTCCAGCAAAATAAAAGTTTAAATATATTTTTTTATTCGATTATAAATGAGAAGACGTTTCACTAGTCAAAAGAACACTAACGCAAAAGCAGAGATTACGGTTGGTTATAACGTAAATGATGATAAATCACGAATTATTCAAAATGTTAAAGTTAATGTTAGCCCTGAATTAACAAGGTCAGCAACTCAACCAAATTTATTAACTCGTGACTTACCGAAAAAGGAGGAGGAGCAAAATAAAGAAGATGGAGACCCAATCATTTTATCTGAACCCGGTAAAGAACCTGTTGAAATTCCCACTTATCCAACATACCCCCACCTCTTTCATCAAACATCGAGAACCCATATAAAATAGACATTAATTCTGAATTAATGAAAATTTACCGTGATATAATAATTAATAATTATGATTCAATAATAAATTTAATTGATCAATCCGGTTTAATTATTTTACCTTATGAATCATTAATTCACATTATCGCCATTCTTTGTGATGTTCAAGATTCAGACGTTAAGATTCAATTTTTCATAGATGATGAGGTTTCATGCTGCGGAACAGTTGCAAAAATAAATCCTATAAAGGATATTAGCACAATTAAGATATCAAAGAACGGAACAACAACTGAACTTCATTTAACATATAATGATATTTATAATAAAATAGTTGATGAATATAAAATATCACTTGAAAAATTCTTTGTTAAGGCTATTTAATATTCAAGCATTAACATTATCGAATAATAATCCTTTGAATCATAATCAATAATAATTGACCTTTCACCAGTTTCTATCGTTTGTTTTATTTCTTTTTGTTCCCCACTATCCGGATCGGTCATTGTAATTGTTTTTGTTATAGTATCAGCTTTATCTTTAACTTCAATCTTTTTTCCATCGGGATATTTAAACCAAAATTCCAAAAATTCGATATTGTCAATCTGTTCATATTTTAATCTATCAATTACATTTTTAATACCATCTGAAAATCTTATGAAATGGTCATTATATGGGTTTGATTGAACTAAATTTGAATGAAGTGAAATATAACCTGTTGATGAATATGACACTGACTCATATTTTCTGAAAACACTAAAATTTATAACATGAATGAATTTCTTATTCGTTGAATTTATGAATTCTTGAGGTAATCTTATTCTAGTTTTATTTATCACTGGAAAATAACGCTTTACCATATTTTTAATCGTAATAAAAAATGTCAATTATCAATATTATTTCGAATAATAACTGTGAATTAAATTTAACAGTTAGCGGAATTTATAATGTTACTCTCGTTTCTGTGAGTGGTAAATTTAATCCCATTCTTTTAGACCCTTCAGATTATATATCATTTATTAAAGATGACCATGAGCCGCATAGCGGCGATCGTAGACCTTGAAAAACGTATGATATGTATATAAATAATGTGATAGCGAAATGGGATATTAACATGATTTTAAGTTATTTAAATGAATCATTTATCGTATGGTATGAAGAAAATTTTAAATCAAAACCTGATAAACTTTTTGAACTTGATGAAATAAATAACCTTATTAAATTTCCGCTGAAAATTAAATTTTGTACTCCTCATCTTCGTTCATTGTTGGGGATATTAAATTTTGAAAAAGATGTTGGGGATGTTTTGTATTCTGACACTGGTTCCAATTTCATTTTAATCAAATGTGATAAAGTTAATACCCCAATGAGATTTTCACATCAAACATTAGACCCTAACTCTTACCCATCAATACAAAACATTTTATCCATCAACTTAAACACATTTTCTTTATCATATCCGTTTCAATTATCCGGGAATTCATTTATTCTTCATTCAAAAGATTTATCAAATATTAAATTTAGAATAACTGACCTATTTGATTGTGATTTAGAATTTATGAATGAAATATTATGGCAATTTCAAATAGAGAAAATAGCTGATGAGATAACGGATTAAATATTTATTTTTAAATCGTAATAAATGATTAAACAACAGCAACTTAAGGCGCAAAGCGCCCAGGTCCTTCAGACCATTACATACGCCACATATGCATATAATTCAAAGACGGCAGAACAAACGCAAAGGTTGAAATATGGAGATTTGGAGATAGTATTGAAAAATGACCATTTCGAATTCGTTTGCAAAGGTGGTGCAGTGATATCAAATATAAAAGAAATTTTATTTATGAATTCAAAAATTAAAGGAATAACGGATGATATAACATCAATTCCACCAGAAGAACAGAGATATTACGCATTAAATGCATTTCCTAAAGTTTTGAAGATTGGAAGATTTAATTTAAATGAGGAATTCATAGAAGGTTTCCTAAATGACATAATGAAGAAAGCAATTTGTTTATGTTGATGAAAAAGATAATGAAATTAAAGAAAAGGTTGAATGGTATCATGAATGGACATTGGAGACTTTTAAAGTTAAAGCTGATACAGAATGGGTTTCAGGATGTTTAGACCTTAAAGCAGATAAAACTTATGTTAATGATGAATTAGAGAAGAAAGCAGATAAAACATATGTTAACATGAGTTAGAGAAGAAAGCAGATAAGGAAAAAGTTATTTCATTTATTAATACTGAGTTAGCAAAGAAAGCTGATATATCATTTGTTAATGAAGAAATAAAACAATCAGAGGTCTATTTTACTCCACCATTTTTAAATTTTATGAAATCATCAGATAAAACCTTTGATATAGATTCTTTTGAATGGATATGTTTCGATGGAGTGACCACGTATTTATTTTATACAGCTGGAGTGCTTTATTATTTTAAAACAAATGATTTTAAAAACTATGAATCATTTACTCCATCTGTTTGAATCCTGATACACGAAAGCCAATCATTAATCCAAGAATTTTATATGTTGAATATAATAACGGTAAATTTATGGAATGATAACGGTTGGAGATGATTTTTGCCCTTGTTATTCATTCGATTGTATCCAATGGTTCAAATGTAATTTAAATCAAGATGCTAAATTTAAATATCCAAATAATCCTATTAGATGCGTTAATAATAAATGGGTACTAATTTATGAAGTCAATCAAATTTTCATTAGTGAGGATGGGATAAATTATTATATGTTTAGTATGATGTCATCAGATTTGGAAATTGATTATACAAGTAAGTGGTATTACATTAACAACATGTATTTTATCCTACAAATGATAAAATTTATAGATCATATTCAATACCATTTGGTCGTTTTGAACAAATTTTTCAAGCTGATGGAGACATTGAAGCTTTATGTTATGCTTCAAATGTTTGTGTTCTTGTTTCAGGTGGTATGGTCTATTCATATCCTGTAAGTTATAACAGACATATTTATTTATCACAAGATTTTTCACAGGATCCAGAGAAAACACCAAGTTGGGAATTGGTTTATTCATTCACTCCAAAATTACTCGAAATTATAGATTTACTAATTTATTTTATATTGATGGGTATTTCATTGCTTTAGGATGTGGTGATTTAGTAAATATCAGTAGTGATGGAAGAAATGGTCTGAAATCACAAAATTTCAAGATGTTAGAAAAGCAATTTTCAAAAATAATACGTTAATATTGATGACAAGACCAATTTTAATTTCTTACCCAGTTTCAATATTATATAATAAATTCAATATTCATAATGGATTAAATACAATTCTTGAGATGATTTACCCCATTGGTTCAATATATACATCAATGAATTCAACAAATCCAGCTGATGTATTCGGTTTCGGTACATGGCAACAAATAACCGATCGTTTCCTCTACTGTGCTAATAGTTCAAAACAAACCGGTGGAAGTAAAAAGATTACTGGCGAAAATTTACCTGCTCATAGTCATTATGTTAATTTAAACACTCAAGACTCGGGCTGGCATAGTCATACTTATACTAATTCGTTTGAATATCCTGATGGAAATAATGGATTTCCTGATGGATGGTCTGATAGAGACGCTAGCAGGGGTAAATATTGGTATGGTAATAAAAACAGATGGAATGAAGGATATACTTCAAACGGTTCGGGTACACATTCACATAATGTTTCAAGATATACACAAACGACAGGAAGAGGTACAGATTACATGCCACCTTATATGACGTTTATGCATGGTTTCGCGTTCAATGAACGCTCAATGTTTGTTTCACAAACTTTAGAACGGCATAATTTAAATTTTTATTTTAGTATAAATGAAGATTCTACCATATGGTGTTATGGGAAGAGATAAAGATGGAAACCCAATATTTGATCCAAAGTTAAAATTAAAGTTGCTGAAACCAAAACAGGATGAGAAAATGAGAAAATGAGAAAAAAAAAATTTAAATTATGCAATTTTATTTTTATCATAAATGACAAAATTAATTAAGCCAACTATTTCTAAATTAATGATACCAATGAAATCATTTCATGGAGTACTTATCCCAGGTTCTTCACAATTAGCCGGGGCAAGTGTTGTGGCTCAAGGTGGAACATTAGCGAATCCATTCAAATTAACTAAAGATGAACTTAATAAAATGATGATAAAATAACTGATAACAAAATTTTATTTTTATATAAATGGATACCCCACAAGCTCAAAATTTACCACGAATCATAACAAGGGAGGAAATGATAAAAATGATGCAAGAACGAATTAAAAACAACAAACCACGAAAACCGAGAAGATGCGGTTATGCAGTAATGATGGAAAGAAGAACCCAGAAAGGTTCGGCGTCTCGAAGAGACGTTGTCGAAGAGGAATAAAAATTAAATTTGGATTGAGTTTAAAAATTCATCTTTATTAAATTCATCTCTTCCAATCAATTTATTTATTCTATTAAATTCTTTTATTTTTGCTTCACTCAGTTTAAGGATTGAACGGTAAGTTTCTAATTTTTCGATTATTTCTTTCCTCTCTTTATCGTTTTCAGTTCCTTTAGTTTTATGGGCATCAGCCCCACCGCATTGCGGCTTCTTTTTGTAATAGCATATTTTTGATTTAATTCTGTTTAGTTTCTTTTTATATTCATTGTCTGGACTCTGAATCTTAATTGAATCAGGACTCTTGGCTGCTTTGTTGTCACTCATTTCTTACGAAATAAAAAAATTAAATATTATTTAAATATAATGGAGTAATAAAATAAATCGGAATTTCTATTAATTTATTGTCAACTTCAACTAATGCATTGCCGTTAATATATCTAACAAATTCAGCTATTGTGTCAAATCTTCGTCTTCTTTTTGTCATTGATTTATCAGTTTTTCCATAATCGAGATGAATCAAAACTTTATCCCCTTGTTTAAAATTCATGAGCCCCGAATTAATTTGTTCACGTTTAACATCATTTAACCTTTCCATTTGCTTTCTAATATATTCCCATTCTTTTGAAATATCATTTTTCATTTCCACTGGTTTCATGTTTATAGTTCTATGCCATGTATTATTGTAATAATATACTAACTGCTGTATGATGGAGTCATGATTTCCATCCCAGTATATCCGACCGTTAACCCCTAACGCATCTCTAAGAGTTCTCATTACCACATCAACTATTTTATTATGAAACGTATATGGAGAAGATGAGAAGTAAAAATTAATTTGTGGGAAATAATGAGCCATAGCTGCCTGAAATCCTTTATCACCATCACCCCTTATATTATCTACTCTTTCATGATCTAGTAAGTATTGAATAGCTCTTCTTGTTTCCTGTTCTGTTTTCCCTTTCACTGGAATGCAATATAAATATCTAGTGTTAATGTTAATGGCAAATAAATAAGTAAGGTTTCCTTTTGAATATTCCAGATGATCGATTTCGTATGAATATGGATATGGTGCAAATGAAGGGCGACTAAATTTTTCCTTTAACGGTTGAATTTTCGGGTCAATTGGTTTATTTAATATCTTGAAATCCTTTTTAAAATCTTTTTGCTTCTTTAATGTTTGAAATGGATATAATAAAGTGAATGATGAAGGATTAACTGAAGGAGGAGGAGGTACTGTCGTTGGAGGTTTTGGTGTTGCAGTGGTTTAATTTTATCTGCTTTGATTTTGGATGATGAAGTTTTAGTTGTTGATTTTCCTTTCATTAATTCTGGATGTATTCTATTCATTTGTTTTAAATATGCTGTATATAAAGGTTTGATATACTTTCCCGCTTCGAGTTTATGTTGAAGGATGAATTCCAAAAGTTGATCTTCATTTAAAAGTCGGGCTGAATATGGTTTAACTAATGAATCATAAATTAAAGCTTGTGCATCATTTATGGTCTGAAAGACTTGGGCGTTTTGCATCTTTAGCTGTTGAACATTTGCTACTTTCTCTTTTGGTGTTGTTTTCGGCTTTTTCTTCTTTTGTTTTTTTCCCTTTGTATATTCATTATTTTTAATTTTGTCTTTAATTTCAGAAATTATTTTATCATGATATTTCAAAATTTCATTTTTATAATACGAATAATAATAATCCATATCATCACCCGTTATATTTTTATTATGTTTTTGGAGATATGATTTTAATTCATAATAATTAAGAAAATTTTGATTAAGTACTAAATCATCAATTAAATTTTCTAAATCTGCGTTATCCATTTATATAAAAATAAAATAAATGTTTTAAGGGTGCCCACCTCTTTGAATCATAGTATCAAAACCATTATTTACATATTGAATCGCATCATTAACGGTTCCTCCTTCTAAAACGGTATCAAATGGTGGAGTCCAGATTTCCTGATGATGATCATAAAATCCAGCAAAATTAACGTATTATTAGGTAAAATATGAATCTCAGCGGTATATCTTCTATCTAAATTTGGATGCCTTATATGTATACCATTACTACCCGGATAAAATCTCAAACCTTGATTTTGTTGACGCATCAAATTATTGAAATTTCTTTCTTCAGGGGTGAATGTTCTTCTCCGTTGATGCTGTGGTGGTGGTGGTGGTTGCTGCTGTTGATGCTGTGGTGGGATTTGAAAAATTCGTTGCGGTTGATTATTTGGAATCTGAAAGTTAAAACCATTTGGTATAAATCTATTCGGTTCCTTTTGTCTCTTCTGTGGCATTTTATTAAAAATAAAATTTTAAATTCATGACTCAACCCCTACGTTTTTAAATTGTATTAAATAAATGGCATACAACATCCATTTTCACAACATACAGCCTTAGTGTGTGCTCCTGTTAATGCAGTCTTACCGATTGTTAAGCGAGTCATTGACCCGTTTTTAAGTTGTAAATTAATATTCTGACCATCAAATATCACTTTATCATTTATTATATCCAAATAATTTTTAGGTGTTAATTGTTTATTTTGTCGTAAACTAACACCTTTCATTTTTTGTGCAATCTTTTTAAAATCACTTCCATCAATTGAACCGTTGAATGATGTATAACACTTAGGGCATAAAGCAACCATGTTATCACCTTGTTTCTCAATTGCTAAACCCAATAACTTCTTCTCATGTGCTTTTTCTTCAGCTTTATTCTTTAATTTAGGTTTAAATTTCTCATCAAAACAGAAGAAATCAAAAGGTGCGAATTTGAAAATGTTTTTATCATAAAATTGTTTATCGGTAACAATTGCTTGAAATGCTTGAGTGTTAGGAAGATTTGGGTCGCCAGCGATTGCCCAATAAGATGAATCAGTATCACCTTCAATGAAATGAAAACGATTAACATCATGCATTTATACATAAAATCATAAATGAAAACTAAATACCAGTATTTAGCATTATCTAAAGTGAAGAATGCCTCTTGTAAACATGTATCACATCTATAAAATCTATCTTTAAGCATCACTTGATATGTATCCTCACCTATTTCTCTTATGTTTTTAAACTTATTTGACATACATGCAACGCGTGCCTTCTGTGCATTCATTATTTTAGTCTTTGCGTAATTTTGTATTCATTGCATCGTAACCATATGATCCATTAAGTGAAATCTTGCAAAATAAACTTTTTCCTTTATTTCCTTCTAATTCAGCCTTTTGTCTTTCGTTCATAAATTCGTTCGCAAATTCATTAAAACAAGTGTTTTTCGTAAATGTTAAAATTGATTGAATATCATCGATGATAAAATGAAATCTGTCTATTAGATACCAAAGATAATAAGAAGAAAATGGTTGATATTGGTTGTGTGTTGATGCTAACTGAGTTAATTTCCTCTGTTTCTGGTCAACTGGTAGATTGTTTGATTTCATGTAATTATACATAAAACTGCCAATTGTTTTTTCATCTGTGATAATATCTAAGTTTCTTATTATCGGTAAAAAGTTTATGTAATCATTAATGTATTTTTCATCAATGTGACCCTTTACTTCAGCCACGAATAAAGTATTTTTCTTCTTAATTATTCCCAGTGCTTTTGCTTTCTTTGTTGCTGTATCACAAATGATAACACCATTCAATCTTCCCGGCATATACATTTTATGGTCAGTATATTGAATGAAATCATGAGGATTAGATGAAAATGATGAAGGATATAATGAATTAAAATCAACACCAACGAAATGAGTCATAATGTTGGTGGTGTCCTCATTTGATACAGTTTTAGTTTCTGGATATATGAAAGTTTATTAATGTGCGTGATTCCTTTAAGATTTACTCTATGTTGAACATTTGATAGACCACCAGTAATTCCATTACGGAGAATGTGATAAGCTTCAACTGAATCTAAAGTCATTGGTAAATTATTTTTTAATGCATAATTTCTTAAATTGATTCTTAAACGTTGAACATCTTCATCTTTATTTGATTTTACGACATTGCAATAACAACACATTAACTGACAATTTTCTTTGGTATGTGGTTTTTCATTATCGATTCTATCTAATGTTGGTTTATTAGCATATGTAAACGCTTTACCACACATTTTGCATTTAGATGAAAGGATTAAATCGTGATAGTATTGAAAATCATCCATTGAAACATTATTTTTAGTATCCTTTCTGCTTTTTCATCTTGTTTCTTATATGATTCAATTTTATATTTCCAATACTTTTTCGTTAATTCAAAACTTGATTCTATCTCTTCCTCAGGATATTTTTCATTAGGATTAAAGTCTTTATATGCTAAAGCGTAACGAATCATTGAAGCATTCGATGATAAAGAAAGATTATGAAGCATATCAATTTTATAAACAAATGTTTCTTC